CTAAAGAGTAAATCAGTGACTCATGGTGAGGGAGATTATTACAGTATCTGCACCAAACCCTGGCCTTGTGGGTTTAAATTGCTGCTGGAAATCACTGACTAAAGCAGCCTGTGGTTTGCATCACAGGAGCAAATGCATCTAACAAAAGCTGAGAGTGATCTCATCTTTTCTAGCTTTAAAGGATGAACAAGCCATGCCACTATTATTCATCCATAATATGTGGATTTTCCTTGCTCAACCCAAGGGCACTGCAGGAAGTTAACTCAAATCAGCTGCTTTTGATAGAAACCTGGCTTGTGGTGACCTGGCTTGAGGGCAGAGAAATTCAGGTCTGAATGTTCCATGGGATGGGTGGGAATGCATCTGGAAAGAATTAGCCCTCAAAAGGTAGCTTCTTGCTGACTAAACCCAAAGGTTTTCTCCTGGAACCTCGATTCTCTAGGATCCCAGGCCTGGGAGGACATTCAGTGAAGCTGTGGTGACTGCAAGTGGTGACATGAACTATTTGTGTGTGTGTGTGTGTGTGTGTGTGTGTGTGTCCCCAGCCCTTTAAATTTTTTTTTTTTCTTTCTTTCTTTTTTTGGTACCGGGGATCAAACTCAGGACCTTGCGCTGGCAAGGCAGACATGATATCACTGAGCTAAATCCCCAGCCCTTAAATTTTTTTTTCTTTTGAGACAGAATCTTTTATGTTGCTAAGGTGTCTAGGAGGGGTCAAACTCGAAACCCTCCTGCCTCAGCCTCCCAGAGTGCTTGGATCACAGGTGTGTGCCACCATGCCCAGCTGGGACATGAACCTCTAAAAGCTATTTTGGGGGGTCTATTTAAAACTTTTTCCCTTTTGTATCTTTTCCTTTAAAATAAAATTGGCTTGCTCTACATTGTACATATCACTGTATATTTGTCCAAACCCACGGGATGTGCCACACTGAGACTGGGTAATCCTGCAGCAGCGGCACGTGACAAAGGGACCCACCACTGTGCAGGGGGTGTGTAGCACGGGGTGAGTGTAGCTGGATACTGCTGTGAACTGAAAACTGCTCTGGCAAAGTCATGAGCATGGTGGCATGGTTCTTTGGGAAGCTGACGCGAGAGGATCCCAAGTTTGAGCCGAGCTTCCGCAACTGAGGGGGGAGAGGAGAGGGAGAGAGAGGTGAGGGGGAGAGAGAGAGAATAAGTAAATTTAATAAAGATGTCAGCAAGGGCCGGGGATTTAGCTCAGCGGATCTGCCGACTGCCCTGCAAGCGCAAGGACCGGAGTTCGGTCCCCAGCACCAAAACAAACAAACAAAAAGACGTCAGCTGAAGGAAAAATGGTCAACAAAAAACATGTCTCCTCTGTGCATTAGAAAACAACTTTCCCTCCTTCTCTCTGTACCCTGAAAGACTGGCCAGATCACAAGGGAGAGACTTAGAGGCTGCATCGCGGAGATGAAGGTGCGCTCATGGCCCTTTCCTTTTTGGTGTCAATGTGGGTAGCTTGGTCAAAGTTAAACCAGGTTCTGTCAGACTGCGGTCTGGAAAAGGCGGAAGCCAACACAGAGGCACAACAGAGCCCTGTGTTGGTCATGGAGATACGGCCCATGACCCTGCCCACTCTGTCCGCCAGGATGGCAGGCGGGGCCCGACGGGGTGGCGGGGCCCTCAGCAGGAGCCCAGAGCCGCAGAGAAGAGCTGTGAGCCGTCTTTCTGCTCGAGGTCCCTCCCTGTGCACCCAAGGCAGCAAAGCTCCAAGTCCCGGCGGAGCTGTCTGAAAGTCGGGGCCACGCGGCATGGTCTGCAGCCCGGGGAAAGACAGCAGCTTCTTAAAGTGCTCGGTGTATGGCCAGGGACAACGCAGCTCACAAATCCATCTTGGTCCGGTGATCACTACCTTGGGGAGAATGTGGAAGTCGGGGACCTAATAGTAGGAGGAGAGGCGTGGCCTGCGGCACTGCCTGTCTGGCCAGGCCCTGTTTACTCTTGGAGATGCACTCAAAGCACCACCTCTGCTCTGAAGCCTCCCCGGCCGGCAGAAGGGAGGACCCCCTCCATGGGCACTGTGTAGGCAGTTTCTATAATAGCGGTTCGCACACGGCACCGGGGTCCTGTCTCCCTGTGTCGCACTCCATCCTCTGTGCAGCTCTGGCTTCGGTCTCTCTCTCTCCAGTGCCCAGCCCAGCACCAGATACCCAGCCGCACTCTCAGAGGTCTACAGATCCCTGAGCGGGGCAGGGGATGGCTGAGCTGCCGCCTGCCCTTGCCTGGAGGAGCTAGCGCTGGGGTCACCTTGGTAGCAGCCACTGGGAGATTGTGCCAGCCTCCCTTGTCACTCACGCTCACACTCGCACACAACATGCACACGCACAGCCTTTATCTGCTTGACAATGTTAAATCTTTCAGTAGGGCAAGGCTTTTATCTACGGCTATTGGGAGGGCTTCCAGTGCCAGTCTCCATGCGAGGCGTGACACTGCTACACAGGCAGAGAAGCTGCTTTCCCTCTTCCTGATCCTCACTGTCCAGCCTATCATAGCTTGGCTTCAGGCCCTGAACACCCACTGAAATTGATATGGCACAGGCTAACGTTTTGTCCTTCTTCTGTTTGTACCATGCTATGTGTGACTAGGGACACAAGGTGTGTTTAAATGTTCTAGAGACGATGTGCTTTGGAGTCAGGTTCTGCCATCCCTGAGCTGCAGTCTGGGCCTCAGTTTCCCTATCTCTAAAGAATTAGGGGGGTTGACATCACCAAGATCTTGTCCAGCTCTGGGGAATGGTACATTACGTCTAATGTCTTCCATTTAGGAAAACAGCCCAGGGAGAGGTCAACTTGTACACGGCACCATGTGGACACCTCGGAATCTGCTCTTGCAACCAACTTGTGAAACATCTTGAAAACGGAGTAGATTCACAGAGGGCACCCCAATAAGCCTTCCTGGGTGAGCCACATCTGCTTCTTCTTGTTCCCTCTGGTCACTTCCCTACCTCAGGTCCTCCAAGCTCAGCCAAGAGTTAAAAGCAGGAGGGACAATTCTTGTAGTTATCATCTGACGCAAAGAAATGGGTCCATTCCAGCACTTGCCAGCAGTCTATCGATGGCTGCAAATGCAGTCACTTTTTAATTGCTCTCAGCAAAATAAGTAACAAACCATCTGATGCTGTTTTTGCTCCCTTTGAGCAGGGTAAATACAAAGAAAAGGCAGACAAGGACCCAAATCTAAGTGAAAAGCAAGCATCCAGGAACCTCAAGAGAACGGTGAACTCACCCACTTCGGTGCCCTTTCCCAGCGTGAAGGTGAGCCCGCAGCCCTGGAGCCTGTCCTCCGTATCCGTCTCTAAGACAACATAGGCTGCCGAGTAGTCAGGGTCTGTGTGCTGCAGGAGAGGAGTCCCCACCCAAAATGCAAATATGAGAGACCCAAAAATAAACGCCAGAAAGACACAAGAATAAAAAAGGCAACAAACAAGGGATATGCAAGGACTCCTGTCTCAAGAACAGCTGAAGAACCCAAAGGAAACATATAGCTCTGAATGGACCAAAGTCCTCCTGCAGGATTCCAGTGAGTTCAACAAGTGCAAGGTGTACATAGTGTGTGTTTGCGTGTGCTGAGGATGAACCTAGGGCCTCAAACATGCTAAGCACATGCTCTGCCACTGAGCTCTACCCCCAGCCCCAAATGTTGACATTTTAATTTTATTTTTTGGTGTTTTTTGAGACAGGGTCTTGCTACATAGTTCAGGCTGGCCTTGAACTCACAGAGATCCTCCTGCCTCAACTTCCTGAGTGCTGGGATGACACGTGTGCCACCCTGCCTGGCAAGGCAGACATTTTTAATGCTAATGTGTAACTGGTGTGCAGCTCAATTTTAAAGCCAAGTGTTCTCAACAACAGAGTTATAGTCACAAGCAGCTTCAAATTGAACAAGCCAAGGCTTCAGAAAGCTCTTAAATAACATTGAACTGATCTTCACTGCAGCAGTTTATAGCAAGGCTGACAACATAATAGTGCAAGCTCAGGGACCACAGGAGAAATGAAGACAGAAAGCCTCAAGACAAGCTAACCCTTGTTCTCTAAATTATTTTAGCTTTTTACTATCAAACAGCATTTAAAAATAAAAGTACTGGGGATTGAACTCAGGGCTTCATGCATGCCAGGTAAGTGCTCTGCCACTGAGCTATATCCCTAGTCTTTTATTTATTTTTGCGGTACTGGGTATCAAACTCAGGACCTCAGGACCTTGCACTTGGGCAGCAGGTGTGGCACCACTGAGCTCAATCCCCGGCCCTCCCTAGTCTTTTTAAATTTAGAGATAGGGTCTTGCTATGTTGCCCAGGCTGACTTGGCTTCAAACTTTTGATCCTCTTGCCTCAGCCTCCTGAGCTGGGATTGCAGGTATGTACCACCACGCCTGGCTTCAAACAGTATTTTGGTAAGTATTTATTGTTTGACTATTAGGAAACTCAGCAAGGCCTAATGAATGATATGGGGGAAATGTCTCATATCGTGGAGAAACAAAGTCAAAACTCAAAGCCAGATGAGAACAAACTAAGGGAGCACAAGGTTGTACATTGAAGCACAGTGAATATAAACACACAGACGTTCAAGGGGGAGAAAGAGCAAAGAGGAAGTAGAACTTGGGAGAACTATCTTCAGGGAGCAAAGACCATTTAGATGGGCAAAGGGGCTGGTGAAAACATCTAAGAAGGAGAGTGAAGCGAATGAAGACAAGGGCAATAGGCAGTGTGAGGGCAGATGACAGCCCAAAAAGCCAGGCAAAAGGTCTGAATACGTTAAGGAATGGAGGTGGCAGCTATTAAAGCGTTTTGCATAAGGCTATGAGAATTTATTACTATCATTGTTATTAGTGATATAGGGTATATATACAGTGTATAGATATATAGTATAGTATATATAGCATATAGTATAAATAGTATACATATAATAGTATATATAACATATAGCATAATATATTATAGCTATACACAGCTATATTATATAATATAGCATATAGCATATATGCTGTATACCACCTGCTATATATATGGTATAGATATAGTATATATACTATATAGTATAGATATATATATATATATATATAAACATATATATATATTTCTGGGGGTGGTACAAAGGACTGAACTCAGGACCTTCACTCTAAACTACATCCTCAGCCTTTATTTTAATTTAATTTTAAGACCATATCTTGCTAAGTCACTAAATTGCCCAGGCTGGGCTCCAAATTATGACCTTTCTGCCTTGGCCAGTTATATAATATTTACACAGCCAGGCACATCTTTCAAAGGGTTTCACATTATACCAGGTGTGGTGGCACATGCCTGCAATCCCAGCACTCGGGAGGCTGAAGCAGGAAGATTGCTGCAAGTTTGAGATCAGTATGGGCTACACAGTGAGTTCAAGGCCAGCCTGAAATACATAGCAAGACTGTGTCTTAAAAAAACAAAAAGAAAAACCCCAAAGAGTTTCACATTATTTCATTTAATCTTCACAACAATATCATAAAGTCGTGATCCCTGTCTTAGAGATGAGGAAAGTGAGTTTTATTTATTTATTTTTTGGTACCGGGGATTGAGCTCAGGTCCTTGTGCTTTCGAGGTAGGCGGCAAAACCACTGAGCTAAATCCTTGGCCTGGAAAGTGAGTTTTAAAGGGGCTAGTACCTTCCGCAAGGTCCTAACATGAGTAAGTAGAGGAGGCGAATGTCAGTCCTTGTATTTGGCTGGGGGGCCAGGGTGGGGAAGCACGTGCACAAGACAGAAGGGATCCCGAGTATGGTGTCGAAGCCCAGCGGAGGGAGTGTGGGGTGCTGTGTTGCTGAGCACCAGCTGCACAGGAGACTGTGCATGTGGTCCAGTGGGACACAGCTATGCCTGGTTTGAGGAAGTCACAGCTAAGAAGACACGGTTACCAACACACTCCCAGTGCCAGGCAGAACCTACGTCCCCAGGGGAGACAAAAACAATGAGGACAGGCAGCGGCACAGTCTGCTGGCTGCTCTCAAAGCTGGGGCAGGCGTGGTGATGAGACAGGTAGGATCTGAGAGGGAAGACTCTCTCAGGCCCGGTACCTGCTATGACTGGTTCTCACCAGAACTCACCTTGAGGCCTGGTCCTGTGTGATGATATCGAGAAGAGTTTGGGGTTGTAAGAGGTAATTAGGTCAAGTGGGCACAATCCTCTTGAGTAGACTCATGTCTCTCTGGAGGACCAGGTTAGCTCTACTGGGACTAGATTAGTTCTTGTGAGAATGGGTTGTCGGTGAGTTAGCCAGGCACCTCCCCTGGGTCTCTCCCACAGGTCCTCCCTGCATCTGGGTCTGCTTCCCTTGTGCTTTGCTACCATCACATGAGGCAGCACCAAGCCCTCACCAGAAGCTGGGCACAGGCCAGGGCCAACCTCCAGAGCTGAGAGCTAAATAAACCTCTTTTCTCTATAAATTACCCAGCCTCAGGTATTTTCTAACAGCAACACAAATCAGACTAAGGCAGGAACAGTGGCAGAGAAGGCAGTGAAGGGGATGGCTAAGGGAAAGGCTGGTGTGTGTCAAGGGTTGGTGCCCACCCTAGTTTGGCATGTTACTGTTGCTGGAGTGGGGCTGAGAGATGAAGCTAGAGAGAGACTCTATGAATTAAAGACCCATCAGCAGTTTTTGGGTTAGAAGGAGAAGCAGCAATGGAAAGATGAAACCTTTTACTGAGGTGTTGGGAGAGGTCCAAAAGGACAAGAGGAGTTACAGATGACTGAAGCTTCTGAGCCCTGACAACTGGTAGAGTGATCCCAGTGGGTCAGGAGGGATGGGTGAGGGATGGAAAAGCGTCAAGTTCTGATTTATAGACTGTTTAGCATGAAGGTGAAAAAAAGCGCATCAGAAAATGTCCAGCCCCAAAGTGGGATCTGGGAGACTTTGGCCTAGTGATAGGTCCTGAGAGGGGCTTAACGGGAGTATGTGGGAGACACAATTGCAGGAGAGAGGGAACAAGCAACCCTAAGTGCAGGAAGGAGCCATCAGAAAGGCAGAGGCCAGCAGGGACACAGACTTAGGAAGAATGACAGCAGGCAACACATGATGCAGCAGAGGATGAAGAACAGTGGATGCAGAAATAATGAAGCAATTCCAAGAAGGGAGGGAAGCAGCAGTTGATTTTACACCAAGGCAGAAATAGATGTAAAGAACAGGTACCAGGCATGGGGCAGTAATTTTGAGTTTGATGACAACGGGCAGTGTTGCAGTCATTGTTTGCAAGGGAATAGATTTAATACAGGACACATAATAATCTATAGGATTGTTTTGTAATGTTTACCCAAAAAGTCAAATGCAGAGGAGTGTAAGAGATCTGTCCACATACTAGAGACCCAAAGAATCCAACGGGGGGCCTGGATCCCACAGCAATGGCCGCACAAGTCCAGCCAGAGGCCTAGAGGCCGAGGCGATGTCTTATGCGAGTCCATATTGAGGATCTACACTGGGAAGGCCCAAAGGCCAGTGGTGGGAGCCATAAAGCCTGTGCCGGCGGGTTGAAGGGTCTGTGCCACCAGGCTGAGGGGTCTGCACTGGAGCCAGGAAGCTACGGTCAAGGTGAAGACCAGAGCTCCCCTGACGAGAACAGCCGCCATCCCAGTGACAGGAAGGACCTGAACACCTCCTCCAACGAGAACAGCTGAGTTTGCATCAGGAAAACCAGCCGTGGCAAGCTTTTCCAAGAAAATCAACAGCAAAGATCTTCCCCTCCAGTTCTCCTTTATGCCACTGGCAGCAATCCTCAGGTGGGCCTTCCACGCCCAGACCACCCTGACTCAGTTCAGCTGGGCATTCCAAATTGACCACTAGTTAATCCACCACATGCAGAAACCGAAGGGAGCCAGCGATGTATTAGGGTCAAGGGTGGACTCCTCCAAAGTGGGAAGCCTTGCCCGTGTGGGATCCAGAAACAGGAGGAGAGGAAGACTGAAGATGGAGATGCTGGCGGACAAGGGGATCAGCATGGCAGCCTTGGGAGTGAAGAGCGGGAGGGGTGGGGCTCAGAATAGATCCGGACAGGATATGAACAAGGGATGGAGGACATGGCTGGTTTGGAGATGATGTGCAGAGAAGAGGCTGAGGGAACTTTGGTTCTGGCTTCTCAGTGATACAATGGACAATGACTTCTAACTGCTGAGGGCCCAGAACTGGGGGCCAAGGAGAGAACCAGCTCCCAGACTATGAGCAAAGAGAAAAGGTATTGCTGGGAGGTGGCTGAGCCAGCTGTGGCACTCTCGGGCTTGGTAGGTATGGGAAGCAAGTGTCTGAGCTACTTTCTCATCCCTGAGACAACACCTGACACAATTGGGAGGAGGCGAGGTTTATTTCGCCTCAGTTTGTAGAGGTTTCAGCCCATAGTCGGCTGGCTCCAAGGTAGGGTGGCATTGCAGAGGGGCCTGGTGGAGAAGAGCCACTCAGGGCATGGTGGACAGGAAGCAGAGATGAAGGGAGGAGCAAGGGGGACAGACCCTTCTAGGACACATCCCCAGTGACTACCTCCTCCGACCAGGCTTCACCTGGCAGCATCACATTTCGCTACAAATTCATCAGTGGACGAATCCACTGATGAGTATCATACCCCCATGATCCATCCGGTCGCCCCAAAAGCCTCACCTATGAGTGCATGAGGCTTGGGAGGGCATCTAGATAGAAACCACAACAGCAAGCAACTAGCAAGTATCTTCAAGCTAAGTGTTCCTCAAAGGTCCTTGAGCAATTACAACAGGAACCTTAGCTTTAATGGACTGGGGGACAATTCCAGGGCTTCTTCATGGGGAAAAAAACCCTAAATCCTACTCTCATCAGGAAGGCTCTGCTGCTGTGTGCTGAGAGTAGCTGAAGTGGTGAGTCCAGCGTGTCCTGAGGGCGAAGGAAGCCAACCCCACACAAACTGCAAAGCAGCACATTCTCCCCAGGAGGCCCTGGGGAATCAGCACCTGACTCGCTCAACGTTCAACCCAGAAACATTCTATTTCCTAGGCTCTCCTGCAATAAAACAGGTGTTATCTTAATACCTCATGAATTCAGTCCTGTCTGGGCCTGAGTCCCTTCTGCTCGTTTCCTCATGTGTGAACAGTAACACAGCAAATTCTTACCGCCGGCTTCTCTGCCTTTGGCATCTCCTTTGTACCCATGAGGTGGATACAACTGTGCCCACTTTATTTATTTATTTTTGGGTACCGGGGATCGAACTTGGGTCCTTGTGCTTGTGAGGCAGGTGGCGGAACCACTGAGCTAAATCCCTAGCCCTACAACTATGCCTGCTTTACACACAAGATCAACTACTGTACCCATTTTACACATGAGAAAGTCCAGGCTTGGAGAGACTGGGTGGTTCACCCACAGCTGCTAAGCCTCAGAGGGGCAGAGGCAGTTGCACCGCATCAGGTGTTTGGATTTTTACAAACACTTGTTTGGGCTGGGTCTGGTGGTGTGCATCTGTATCCCAGCACTCTGGAGGTTGAGGCAGGAGGATTGTCATGAATTTGAGACCAGCATGAATTGCATAGCAAGACCTCATCTCAAAACAAAACCAAATCCACTTATTTGTGGGGTAGGATAAAATGAAGACAAAGAAATTATAACTAAAAATTGTACTTTTTGTTTTGTTTTGTTTTGTTTTGATACTGGGGATCAAACTCCAGACCTTGCACTTGCAAGGCAGGCGCCGGAACCACTGAGCTAAATCCTCGGCCCTAAAAATTGTACTTTTAAGAAGATTGGAGGGAGAAAGCAAGGAAGGGACAAGAAAAAAATGAAAATGGAAACAAAGCTTTTGTACACAGGGAGGGGAGGGGGCTTAAAATAAAATTTAAAAAAAGAAGACAACTTCTGGGTCTCAGCTGAAGTTACCCCAGGTAATCCATATCAGCGTTCCTTAGCTTAAATTTAGGCTCCTTCCCTTCCAGACCTTAACATCACACCCAGAATTCCTTAAGTTTTGTTTTTGTTTTTGTTTTGTTTTCTTTTGTTTTTTGAGACAGGGTCTGGGTATGTATCCCGGGCTGGCCTCGAATTTGCAGCGATCCTCCTGTCTCTGCTCTCAAGTGCTGGGATTACAGGTGTGCACCACCACACCTGGCTCCCAAAATTCCTTGGAAATACTAACATTCCACATATTGGCTTGAAAAGAAAAAAAAGAAAACAAACCCTGGGCCCATACCTGTGGAATGGGCTCCTACCCTTCTGGGGCCTGGGCCACCTTTTTGCAGGGTTTCCACTCCCTTGAGAGAAGGGTAAATTGTTCCCTGTTCCAGGAAATAAGTGCCTTTCTGAGGCCCTGTACTCTATTTCTTCGCATGTGTACCTTTAACTTCTAATAAAAACCTTCCTGTACCTCTGTCTGACTAGTCCTGAAAATTCTTCCAGGATGAGAGTCAACAAACCTGCAAACTTATTCTACAAGGACCGGGGATTTAGCTCAGTGGTTCTGCTGCCTGGCTTGCAAATGCAAGGACCTGAGTTCAATCCCCGGTACCAAAAACAAACTTATTCTACAAGAAGGTGGGTTAGGCACCTTATTTCAGCTTTAGGGACCTACTCTGGTCTGGTCTGGTGACATTTGGAGGTCTACAAAGGATTATCAATTGAAAAATAAAAATTTATTTTGTAGTGAGAATTGAACCCAGGGCCTCCCTACACTGAGCTACACACCGCGCCCTTTTTATTTTTGTATTTTAAGACAGAGTCGAAGTCACCAAATTGCCCAGGGTGGGCTTGAACTTGCAATTCTCCTACCTCAGCCTCGTAGAGACCTGGGATTGTATGTGCCACCACGTCTCCTTTGAGTGGGTTTTTAAAAAGGCACTTAGCATAGTGACATATAAAAAAAGACTCGGATTTAAAAAGTAAGAAGTTAATCTCAGAATGAAGGACATTCTTTTGCATGTAATAATAGTACATTTCGAGATGCCCGTTCTTATAAAGCAGTTAGGCTGCACGTTTGCCATCTACTCAGCTCAGGAAGTGAAAACATCACCCGGGAATTAGTTAGCGTCCCTGACGGCATTCCCCTCCCCCCCACAGGTCTGATGTTTCCTCTCGCGGACATTTCCACAGCGTGCAGCTGTGTGTCTGGTGCCAGTGGTCGGGCCAGGAAGGCCCTGCGCAGGACTCCTGTGTCTCGGAACCAGCTGAACCTTAGACAGCTGGCCAGGGAGCAGGAAAAAGTCGCTCTAATATTCTCAGCAGAGAATATTAGAGAAAGGCCTCCCGCATCTAGGTAGGAGTCATAATCCGTGCCACCCTTTATTGCAGCTCTTCCGCCTGAAATGCACACCCCGCTGGGCCCTGACAAGGCCTTTCTAGGACTCTCTAGGCGTGTTCGTGGGCACACGGATCCCCCGCGCAGTTATTAGATGCTCGCTTTCTCAGCCCGACTGGGACACCTTCATTTCACAGGTAGGCCCGAAGGCCCACAGAGGCCTGGTTGTCGCCCACGTCTCGCGGCAGGTAGCCCAGGGCAGGACGAGCCCCGAACGCCCCGCGCCAGGCTTCCCGGTCTCCATCGCTGTGAACGCCGTGTCCTCAGCCAGCGGTGCGGGCCCCGCCAGAACTCTTTGCCGGCGCTGCCTTTTATGCACGCACTTCGACCCTTTCTAGGAAAACGTGCACGGTGAAAGCCAAGCCAAGAATTCTGAACAAACGAAAGCCTGGGCCCGGGAGGGAGCTGTTTCTGGGGCTTCCGGCTGCTTACAGCCCCCGTCCCGTGGAGGTTCCCTCGGACAGCAGCAGCCAGGGCTGCACAGCGGCCCCTTCCCCGCGGGCCGCCGCTGGGGGAGGGCCGGAAGTCCGTCGCACTCACCATGGCGTCCGAGCCGTGGCCCCCGAGCGACGTGGGGAAGCGCACGTCGCGCACCGAGATCCGGGAGACCCTGCCGCGCACCATGTCGCCGGCTCCTTGCAGCGCCTGCCTGTCCGCTGCCTGGGGACCCTGCGAGCGCCTTGGGGGTGGGGCATCTTCGCGGCGGGGATGCGGATGGGCTGCGCCATCGGGCGGTGGCTCAGGGGGCGTGGTATCGCCGAAGCGGTAGGTGCTGACTGGCTGCGCCGCAGGGGGCAGGGCACCGCGCTTCTGGACTTGGCCCGAGACTGCGGGCCGCTGGCTTGCTGCCCACTCTGAGCCTGCTGGTGGTCGCTGGCTCCCCCAGGAGAACAGTGGGCTAAAAAAGCTTAAGACTTAGCCGAGTGTGGTGGCCCAGAACTTTCGGAGGCTAAGGCAGGAGGAGCTCGAGTTCCAGCCCAGCCTGGGAACCTTAGCAACTTAGACCCTATAAAAATAAATCAATAAAAGGCCGGGGCTATGGCTCGCTGTGAAGGCCCTGGGCTCCATCACCAGTGCTAAGGAAAACCCAACCCCTCTACTGATTATACCCACACAGTTGCAGAGGGCTTGAAACTTTCCTTATCTGCCCAACACTGCAAGGGACGCAGGTCATTTGAATTTTATTGATAAAAAAATTGGGATTCAGAGAGATGAAGTGACTTGCCTAAGCCACGCAACCAGTTGTGGCACTGTCTTGGCTGCGAACCTGGGCTTTTTCTGCAAAGAAGTGTCTTATGGACAGTCCTGGAATTATAGGAACCCTCTGAAAACACGCTGGTGAGAACACAGTGAAAACTATGTGGCATCATCCTCTCTTCCCCCACACTCAGGTCAAAGAAAATTTTTTTTGCACATACATGTATTTTCACACCATCTTAGAGGCTCACTGAAAGGTAGTGTGCTGCACAATTTGCAGCTCATTTACTCGAGACTGGACCCAGAAGCTTCACACTGAACTACATTCTAGGCCTTTTTGTGACAGGGCCTAAAGGCTTCAAACTGTGAGGCTGGGCTTGAACTTTCGATCCTCCTGCCTCAGCCTCTCAGAGTGCTGGGATTACAGGTGTGCACCACCATGCCCGGGTGGGGATGTTTTCAGGGACACACAGGGCACCTCTGCTGCCCCAGGATGGGTATGGCTCTCAGTGAGATGGAGTCCAGTGGCTGAAGGCAGGGGTGGCCAGCGAGCATGGCACAGCCTGGTTGGCAACAGAGAGCAGAGGGAGAGGACTGAGGGTCACCAAGGGCACTTGTCTCTGACTTAAGCTGACTGCAGTAAAGATCCACTTGGAATAAAGAACTTGAGGAGCACAAGGCAGAGAACAAACCTCCCAACAACCCTATGAGGTAAGCAGGGATTATCTACTGTTTTGTAGCTAAAGAAGGATCCAGGGGATGAAGTGTAGTAGTTCTAAGTGTAGACTGCAAACTCCAAGGCAATCACTTAAAAAAAGTGGGAAAGTCTAACTTGTATGCTAAGGAGAGAAAATAGTCATAAATCCTCAATTAAAACCATTAAGGGCTGGAAATTGAAAACAAAATAAGGAACAAAACAAAGAACAAGAAAACAAGTAGAAAACAGTATATGGTAGATACTCTATTAATAATTTCTTTGAAGTGCCAGGGATGTAGCTCAGTGTTGCCCCACCTGCTTCACAAGCACAAGGTCCTGAGTTCGTTCCTTAGTACCAAAAAAAAAAAAATTTCTTTGAATGTCAGTGGTCTAAATGCACCAATTCAAAGAAACATGAGTTAATCAGGAAAGAAGATCCAACGCATTGCTGTCTGTAAGAAACGCATTTGCCTATATAAAGATGCATGCAGATTATAATGGATGGTGCTGTGGTGCCTGAAGCAAACTCCTATGATGAAACTTTGAATGTGACAGTATCAAGAGATGGGATCAGGCAGTGATTAAATCATAGGGTTCTGCCCTCCTGAATGGGATTAGTCACCTTACTAAGGCCTGGAAGGAACAGTATTCATCCCTTCCTCCATGAGCACAGGGTTCAAGCAGCCATCTTGGAATGAGAGAGCAGAGCTCTCCAGATACTGACCCAGCAGGTGCCTTGATCTTGGACTTCCGATCTTCCACAACTGTGAAGAAATGAATTTCTGTTCTTTGAAAACTGCTGCAGTTTACAGCCATAGCATGGAGCAAAGGATGAGCGATTACACAGAGACAATGTCCAATCCAAACTCAAGCAGGCACAGAGGGGCTGCCTTAACTGAGACCCCCCTCAGCATGAGAGAGTGTCAGGAAAAAACAGTCCCAAACTGAAGCTTCTGTGGCTTCTCATTGATAGAACCAGGAAGCAAGGATAAAGGAAGTCTGTGCAGGAATTCATGTAGGGGACAGGAGAAGAACAGGGAAAGGTCAGGGTGGTCTGTTACATGACTGACCTAGGGGCCAATCTAAGCGATGAATTGGAGTATGGGGACGAAAGGGCCAGAGCATTCACTCCTTAAGGCAATGTGTTTTGATCCTACTTGGATGTGGCACTATGAGCTTTTATCTCTAACCATGCACTGGGGAGGTTTTGGGCTCCAAAAGTCCCTTATCTCTGTATATCCATCTCATGTATACCTTTGGCCAACACCCCCACAATAAATCAGCCAGTCTACAGTGTCACAGCACCACAAACCAACTGTGACAGATACACAAGTACTATTGACACTAATCAAAAGAAATCAGGAATAGCTCTATTAACTTTAGACAGAGCAGACGTCAAAGCAGGAAAAGTTACTGGGAATAAAGAGGGGCATTACAGGGCTGGGGATTTAGCTCAGTGGTTCCCGCGCCTGCCTTGCAAGAGCAAGGTCCAGAGTTCGATCCCCGGTACCAAAAAAAAAAAGAGGGGCATTACATAATGATAAAGGGGTCAAGTTTTCAAGAAACAGACCAACTGAAGTGTGTATATGCCTAACAGAACATCAAAATAAATGAGGCAAAACCTACGAACTGGAAGGAGAAACAGATGAATTCACTACTATGGCTGGAGACTTCCACACCTATCCTGAGAAATGACCAGATCCTATAGAGGCAGAAAATCAGTAAGGACACACTAGTGGTCAGTTATCACAATCAATCAACTGGATACGGTATCTATAGGTTATTTTGTTCAACACTATCAGAATATACGTTCCTCTCAAGCTGATGTGGAACATATACCAAAACAGACCACATTCTGGGCCATAAAACATACCTTAACATATTTTAAGAACACAGAGCATAGTATGTCTACTTTCAGATTACAATGTAGATGAGCAATCAATAACATAATGATGACTAGAAAAGTCTCCCTGAAAATGGATTTTTTGGTGGGGGGTGGTGGTGCTGAGGGTAGAGCCCAGGGCCTTGCACACGCCAGGCACATGCTCTGCCACTGAACCACATCCTCAGCCCTACACATACTTCTAAACAGGTCCAAAAAAATCTCAACAAAATTCTAAAATATTTTGAACTAAGTGAAAATATACTTTATGAAAATTCGTGGGGTACAGTGAAACCAGTGCTTAAGACGGAAATGTACAGCATTTGAATGGATATATTACAAAGAAGAAAGATCTAATAGCAAACATCTAAGCTTTAGGTTTGGGTAACTGGAAAATGAAAGGCAAATTAAATTCAAAGTGAGCAGATGAAGAGAAGGCAAAACAGCAAAGAATCCTGAAATCAAAAGGGAAAAATCAATGAAAAGAATACCTGGTTCTCAAAAAAAAAAATTCAGTGAAATAGATAATTCCCTAACCAGCCTAAGAAAAAAACAACGCAAATTACTAATATTAGCAGTACAAAAGAGAACATCGTTACAGATCTTATGCACATTAACCTAAATGAAATGAACAAATTCCTTCAAAGACATGGCCTGCCAAAACTCAGATAAGAAGAATTATCAATCGGATTATGCCTGTATCTATTAAAGAAATTGAATTAATCATCAATAACCTCCCAATTCAGAAAGTACGGAGCCAATGGTTTCACTGGTGAATTTTACCAAACAGTTAAGAAAGAAATGATAGCAATTTTCTATAAGACAGAAACAGCAAATACTTCCTAACCTATTATGAGGCCAGTACAGTATCACTCTTATAGCAAAACAAAGACATTACAAGGAAACTACAGACTAAGATCTCTCTTGCACAGATACAGAAATCAACAAAATATTAATAAATTGAAACCAAGGTATAAAAATAATTACACACCCCAACCAAGTGGGCTTTCTATCAGATATGGAAGATATCAGATTGGTTCAACACTGGAAATCAATCAATGTAATCCTCCACATCAATAGGCTAAAGAAAAATCACATATCGAGGCTTTTTTGGTACAAAATCCAACACCCATTTTCATGACAAAAACTGAGTAAAGGAGGGATTAGAGGTTGCATTAATCACTTTCCCATCACTGGGACAAAATACCTGACACATGCAACTTACAGGAGGAGTGGTTTATTTGGCTCAGCGTTCAGAGGGTTCAGTTCAAGGCTGGGTGGCTCTAAGGAAGAAACAGCACGGTGGAAGGGCCTGGTGGAGGACAGTTGCTCAAGCCATAGCAGATGGGAAGGAGAGAGCAAGGGAGGAGTTGGGAACAAGAATACACCTTTCCACGTCATACCCTCAGTGACCTGCCTCTTCCACCAGGCCCCACCTCCTAACATGATGAGTGTAATTCCCCTGGAATCAATCACCTTCCAACAGCCCCACCTCTGAACACATGAGACATCTGGGGGATGTTTTAGATCTAAACCATAACAGGGGAACTTTCATAACTTTCTAAGGAATATCTCCAGCTAATACTATTTAACGTTGAGAAGCTTTACTCTAATATCAGAAGCAAGGCAAAGATGTCCTCTTGCTGCAGCTTTTCAACATTGTACTGGAAGCCCTAGCTACTGTTGTAAGACAGGAAAAGGAAGTAAAAGATACACATATTGGGAAGCAAGGAATAACACTGTGTCTTTGTTCACTGATGACATTCTTTGTAGAAAAACCTGAGTCAACAAAAAATTTCCGAATAAGTGATTATAACAAATTTTCTCACTACAAAAATCAATCACTTTCCTATATATGGTAAAAACTTGGATTCCAGGGCCGGGGATTTAGCTCAGTGGTTCCACCACCTGCCTCGAAAGCGCAAGGACCCAAGTTCGATCCTCGGTACCAAAAAAACCCCCTTGGATTCCAAGTGA